ACAATGCGAGCTGCCGCCCTATCGAGATTCTCAATTTCGTGTCATACTGCGGAGAACTCGGGGCTATTTCGGCGCCGCGGTTGGGGTCGCTCCGCTTGCAACGCACGGGGCATTTTTAGTCGGTGGTGGGAAATTATAGTCCGTCCCATGATAGGAACCCGGTGGAAGCTCCGCCTCCAGCTCGCGCTCGCCGCCTTCCCCCGAGTTTGGGTTGCAGGCATGCGACCAAGACGACCAATGACGTCGCTGCGCGGTTGACCTTCTACTGTGACGCCTTGAGTACGATGGATTCAGCTTTTATTAATGGAGATAAGAGGAATGACAGACTGTCAACTCTGACGTTGTTGGTTTGAGGACGCGATGACTGCCAGCTTCCACTGTGTTTTTTTCTTACACACGTCCCGTCGAAATTGTCGCGGGCAATTGTTAATCCTGGTAGTGAGGTCACGTATGGGAACCATACGCGGTGTGTCATGGTTCTGGGTAGCCCTGGAAAGGGGCACGTGTGCAAGCGCGCGCCTTTCTTTCGGGGGTGGTCGTGCGATCCAAGCAGTTTGTAATGGTCCGTTTTCTCGCGTCCGTACGGGTACCGCACGGGCCTTGGCTGCATCTACTGTCTTTGCTGTGCTAACGAGAATGTCGATAAGGACCCTCGTGGTTACGGATGACACTTTGACAACGCGCTATTATGAAAGCAGGGGGACGCAGCTGTTTATTAACAATGAGCGCTTCGAAATTCACTGCACCCCTTGGCCAGTATACACGGTCACGATCACGATCTTGTTTTCGAAAGAATCGCCATGTTACCATGACCACATTCCATCACAAAAGAAAAGAAAACGATATGTGTTTTAAAAGTGACGGTGACTGAGTCAAGTTTGCGGTTAACCGAGTTTATTAGAGCGAAAGAAAAGCATTTGGTCAAAACCAACACAAAGCATCTTTCGATGGGTCGAAATAAGCCGAAAAATATACAGTTCTGGGTTGCGTTCTTTGCTTCCTGAAGCGCTGTTTTTGGGCCGTGTGCCTCTGCTACTTCGCATTCAGTTTGAGTAGGTTGTACTTACAAGAGGTCGAGCATGGTTGACATGCGTGGAATGAAGCTCCTATGAAACCTGAAAAATCCAAGCAATGACATTAGCTCTTGCACACAGCTTGGTGTTGGCCCTCCTTTAGTGGCCTTTAGCTTCTGTTCTTCAGGATGTAGCTCACAACGGTCAATTCGGTGCCCGAGGTAGGTTACCTCTTGCCTTCGGAATTCGCACTTGTCTTCTCGAAGACGAGCTGTGCAGTTTCTGGGGTACTTTCTCAAAGTTTTGCGCGAATTCTTCACCGCGTTCTGCCACCACAATGCCACCGAGGAACACCAGAAAGCCATCGGGGATTAGGGCCGAGTCTTGGAAAGGAATTGGGAAAATATATATTTACATTAATGACAAACGTTAAATAACGGAGCTTACCGCTCATTCACACTGGAAGCGTATCCGCGTTCGCAAAGCGGTTGCGAACGCGGTTGTATTGGCGACGTGCGCGACCGAAAGCGTCGCTGTGGTCGGCCTTCCACGATTGGCCCAAAAGCTGACTATGACGTCGGAAAGGGTATACCATCGACGGAAATAAGAGGAATGAAAGAACTTTAATTTCGACGGTGTTGGCAGTGTTGCTTTGAGAGCGCAATGATTTCAGGCTTCCACCATGCCCAGTACAAACACCAATGAACTTGTTGTTCGGAAGGTAATGACGTCACAAGGGGGAACCATAGGAGGGCGCCACCAAAACATCTCGCCGCTAATAAAGATCCAGTACAGTTGCACGCGCGCCTGATGTCATCGAGTGCGCGTGCAGTTGCACTGGATCTTTATACAACCGCGTTCGCAAGCGCTTTGCGAACGCGGATCCGCTTCCAGTGTGAATGAGCGGTAAGAGAGAGTTAGTGGTGGCTGGCTTCACTGGCTGAAGGTTCGACGGGCACGAGACTGGCATCAGACAGAAACGCACGTGCTGTCCGGGCCAGGCACGAGGGTGGCTTCTTTGCCAACTGTCACCAGGCACGCTCACTTGGGGCGCGTCAAAGGTAATAGAAAGAAGAAAAGGAGTCGGAGGATACCACGCGCTTACAGTGGATAGATCTCCCTTTTGAAGCTAACTTTTAGTGAGCATCGTGTGCCAAGGAGCCAAGAGAGTTGGTTGGCTGCCAAACACCTGTGCCGCGAGCTCCGCCGGAAAGACAACGTAACTGCTGGAGAAAAAAGCAACAACAACAAAAGAACAGTAGAGGCAGGAGACTCCGAGACTCTTCGAGAAAGCTTCGCCAGCAGCGAAGAACTTCAAAAGCAACAAGAAAGGGAGAAACGCCAGAAAAGGAGGACGTGGCGACGCTAGACACGGCGTCGCGTGCCTGGACGGATGGGGCTACTGAGACTGTCTAGCAACGTGCATTATAATAGCTCTATGCCGTTTAGTTACCATCAGCATCGCCATCGTTCCCCCGAAGCCACGTCGGCCATGCGCTCATGGCCCCCGGAGTCATGAGCGCGCCCATGGACGGCGCGGCCCGGTTCTCCTCGGGCAGGGCGCGGGGCGGCCCAAGACCCAAAGTCCGGGCCGTCCTGTCCACGTCGAACGGCTCCGTGTCTGCCGAGCGGAAGCGGACCCTGTCCAAGGCGGCCCTCTGCCTCTGCGAGTTCCAGGACGACGCCGGCGAGTCCGAGAAGCTGAGCGCCGACTACTACGCGTACACGCACGTGACGAGCCAGCAGCGCTACTCGGTCGTCGGCGCCGGGACCGACGGAGGCACGCCGCTCTACTCGCAGCGCCTCTGTGACGCCACGCGCCTCACGTACCTCAACCCTGTGTTCAGGTGGTGTGAACCTAAGCGCCGTCTGCGCTCGCGATTCTTGTCGTTCTGGTGCCCTACTGAACGCGTCCGAGAGACCCAGTCGGAGCCAGAGCCTCTGGTCGGAGCGAGCCGATGTCGTCGCAGTGGCGTCCTTTTCGCACGTTGTTGTTATTAGCGATGAAGAGTTGGGAAAGTGGAGGAAAGTCAATCGCGCATTCGCTCGGGGCCAGTTTGTCACGTTATTATCAGTTTCTTGTTGACCAACAACTCTATAAAAGTCACTGAAAATCTTCCACCGGTTTCACAATCTTGTAGGCACTTCGCGTCTCTCTAAAGGGGTCTGACCTTTATAGATTTTTGTGTCACTAATGGTATTGTTACGACCTTTCCACCTGTCTAGAAGTTATCTAAGCTTCCCGCCTGCAAGCGCTTGTACAGGAGAGAAGTTCCCAAAACCCTTCCGTGAGATTTCGAGGATCGCGCAGCCCTGAAAGGTATTCATAATTATTTCGTGAGAGGAGATCATCTTGAGATTCATCATTTAGCCTAATTTTAATACCAAAACCATAATGCCATACTTAAACGCGGAGACGAGGGAAGACATAGAAAAACACGTACATGACGCCGATCATGATTTCACGGCACTCAACCGTAACCCTAGTAACTGTAAATAACGATCATTGGAGAGGTAATGTTTGCTTAACTTCTTTTCGTACATTTTGCACTTTAGTTTGAAGTACGGTATGACAAACCCTGCGTCCCATGTGCGTGAAAAAAAAAAAAAAAAAATTCCGCAGTCATTCTGGCTCCGGTACGCACGTCCGTTCGTCAGCACCGAAAGAGCGCTTTCCCGTGTTCATTGGTGCATTGCAGGGAAGCGGTGGAGCGCCAGCCGCGCATTTGCGGGGATCAAAATAACGTTTCTAAAAGTTTTTTTTTTTAATTATTATTAGGATTTGGGGAGGGGGGAGAGGCTCCTCGGAGGAGTATTTTGGTTCACCCAATTGACTGAGAACGTAGCATGGACTATCTTTCAGGATGCTACAGTCGGTAGCTTAAGAAGCACCATTCTTTTATTTTTGACTTTAGAGACATCCTATCGAGTATGTAGATTTACCTAACATCGTAATCTTAATTTTTTTCGGCTTCTAGATACCCTGTCAACCGAAAATTCTTTCAGGCATTAAAAGAAAAAAAGTAGGATGGCATAAATATATTCTCTAGCTACCTTTACTGCAGCCAACCTTGGTAGTGGATGGGATCATATCCCTGGTAGTGGATGGGATCATATCCCTGGCAGTGGATGGGATCATACCTCTGGTAGTGGATGGGATTATACCTCTGGTAGTGGATGGGATCATATCTCTGGTAGTGGATGGGATCATACCTCTGGTAGTGGATGGGATCCTATCTCTGGTAGTGGATAAGATCAACCTCTGGCAGTGGATAAGATCAACCTCTGGCAATGGATGGGATCATATCTCTGGTTATGAGATGTGGTAAAAAGTTTGATAAGGTAAATAAAAGAAATATAGCAAGAGTATTTGCATTTAAAAACAGCAATTACTTATGTTTGCATTCAACAACACCAAGTCAGCAATTAAAAAAAACTGCGACAATCAACTTTTCATATCTCGCAATCTTGAAAACTTTTCACCGCTGCCATTTTGCCATTGGCCAGAAAGATGGCATGGTCCTAGTTTTGCTCTTGGAACAGCACTGACTAGTCTGTTCTGTTCAGTTAAATTTGTTGCACATGTACTTTTGAGCATATGTTTCTTGTCGTGGAAGTGTTTTGGAAACCTTTGTTATTCTTAAATTTTCAAAAGGAGGGACTGTGCCAGTCAGATCTGTCCTTGAGACCTTCTTTAGCACATTTTTTGTCTCCCCTTTTTTTCGTGACAAATCAGTTCAAAAATTAGTTTGTCAAAAAAAGTTTAGCAGTGCAAAAGATGTTAAAACAAATAATCATTTGCAAACTCATGTGCTTTAACTAGAATAATGTGAGTGGCATCATACTAATTATGTTTGTCTCAAGGCTAGGGAAGGTTGGGGGACTGCTCACGTCAATTTTTCTGTGACTATGTAACCTTGGTCTGCTTTCTTGAACCTGTTGATTATGCATTAAACGAGACATACCCCATAAACTCTTTTGTTCCAGAGCACAGAAGGAGTTGGAGGAACGCAAAAGCTTCTTTGATGGAGACATCAAGGAAATGGAAGAGAACTTGGCCCAACTCAATGACGTCGACTTTGTGCCTCACTTCCAGAGAGTTGCCATAAGTGGGGAAGGCACATCAGGGGTTTGTTGGCTTCCTTCTTTGCTTTGTAATATATTATTATTATGTTATTTATTTTCTATCATTATGACTTGTCACAATCGCTTGCGAATCTAAGGGGCTAAGCTTACATCTTGGGAAGCTCTGGCATGTGTCATTTTGAACACAGAATGTTTTATTGGGCTGGTTTGCATGAGAGGGCGTCCGTCGAATTCAGTGGACTTGCATCCTCCTAAATTTGGTAAGCTAGTCCTTGCGTGCCAAATGTGGTGCGGCTCCCGAGGTCAGGAAAGCTTAAAGGGATTGTCCGTTCAACATTTTGACCTCATTGTCAATGGCTGTAGGAGCATCTTCCACCACAAACCTGAATTTTGTGTGCTTCCCTAGACGAGTATAATTGTATTTTAAACCAAGGCTACATAAACGGCGTTTACCTCTTCCACCTTCAGAGCAGTGGAGGCTCTGACGTGACATAACGCAAAGATTGCGCCGAACTGAAGCGCCCTTCGAATTTTGTTTTTTGCGTGAGTGCTACGATGGGGTTCACCCTCGTTGTTGCGCCAGAAAATATTTTTGTGGATGAAAGGGGACTCTTGTTGTGGGGTTGTAACGCTCCACATTTCTCCGCGAGATTTACAGTGGCGAGTAAAATGGAACGCTGCGGTGGCGTCGGGAGCACTACGTTCCCACGGAGGAATGAGTCATAGGTTCTGACAAATGCAAGCCTGGTGTGACGTCACACTACGCATGGGAGTGTAGCCTTTGATACTTGCGAAATTCGGCATGGAGTTTCGTACAATTACCCGTCATTGATTACACCAGATTGGGATGTCACTTAATAGAACAAAAATGGCCGATGTTAATTATTAAGCTCCCACCAAATAACCAACCATCTTAAGAACTTCCAGTTTCCATCGGACAATCCCTTAAATAAATGTGCAGTGCTGCTCAGAACATGATGCACATTTTGTGTCCCTACATAATCTGTAGGATTAAGATAAATTAATTTTTTTAAGGTCGGTATCATTTCGGGTAATGGTAGGCCCCGAACATACCTCCTGCCTAACATTGAGGAAAGGGTCGAGCCAAGCGAGTGCCGCACGGTTAACCCAAAGTTTTTCAGGCAGATATATGCCCCAAGCATTTTTTAAATCTTTCATATAAACTATTTATTTAATCATGCTCGCATGATTTTCAACTGCAACTTTTGGGTCTCGGATGCTCAAGTGATGTTATGTATGTCTGTTAGATAAGGTTTATGCTTCCTGTGTTTTTCCGATTTCTTGTTTAAAATAACAATGCAGATATTTAATATTGTTACCGTGTAACATTTTTTTTTTTGCTGCTAAGTTAATGCATAGTGCTAAGGGCTAGTCAAGCCTCCATTGAGTATTTACTCTTTGCTCCACCATTAAACATGGAAATAAAATTATTATTATTATTATTATTATTTTTTTCTTTTTGTAGGTAATAAATGTTTCCTTCTAATTGTGGACAATTACGATTAGGTTCCCCTGGAGGACTTACACCAGGCATCAAAACTCCTTCTCTCGGCCCTAAGGCTAAGGGAAAAATACATGGAAATGTCCCAGCAGTCCTTCCCCAGAGTAACAAAAAGGTTTCTGGCACCGTTCAAGGGAAAAGGGCATGCGGATCCTGAATCCCCTGAGGAAATGCTGGATTCTGCTGGTAAGGTTGATTCACTTAATCTGTCTGAGCAGTTGTCTTAGCGCTCTCAGACATACATGGTCCTATTATTATTTAGTTGAAGGTGTTAACTGTAGCAACTATAATTAGTTGAGAGAATCTGTGTAATTGACAGATCAGTCTTAGGTTAGTGAAGTTATGCGTAAATGTGCAGGAGTAGGCTTGTTTACTTTTTAGGTTAGCCAAGACACTTTAAAAGTCTGTTCATCAACCATGCAAGTAGCAGTGTACGACAGGCATTAGGCAATACATTTGAGCGTGGCAATTTTTTCTAATTTATTGTTGTGAATAAGTTATTTAGGGGCTTTTATGTGATATAGATTTTTTTTTTTTTAACATGTATAGATAACTGTGCTAAAAACCCAGCTCATCCAGTTGTACACCACTTGCTTTGACACGCTCACTTTACTGTAAAAGAATTTATTTTTGTGGCCCCTATTTTTCACGAGTCGGTCAAAGAGGACTAATCGCGGCCACTAAATTTCGCGAATCCCTGACACCTAAATTGGGACTCTTAAAAACTGAAATTTTCACAGGCTTTTAAATTTCTCTAATTTTTCAATTCGCGAAAATTGAGGGTTTCACAGTATATTCCTAGGATATATGACCGAGGCAGTGATCTGATTCTCTCATCTGTTTTTATTTTAGAGCTGTCAAAAGTTGGAGCTATCCAACAGGTTTTGCTGTAGTGTATAAGAAAAGGGAGGGAGGGGGGAGGGGGTACTAAAAAGGGAATTGCTTTAGTATATGAATGTTGTATTGGAGCTTTGTTACATTCATAGATAATTGACAGCCAATGACAGTTAAGGTCATGAGCAATATGTACACTCGGCATCAAACCTGTCTAGAGCGTGGGAGCGATGCGCTCCTGACCGCACGTGTGACATCTGCCAGTGGACGCTGGGCCCGAGATAGTGCACCTCTGAGCATGCACCACCATTGTGCAGCACTGGGAAGATTCCAGCCTTTGTGCTGACCCTTTTGCAGGCTTCGCCAGCCGCCAGAGGAGCTCTCGGAGCCTCCAGGTTGCGAAATTAAGGCACTCGGTGTGGTGGCCCACGCGCCGCCGGCTCCGGATTATCGCGTGTTCATCTGAGAGTAATTTCGCCACTAAACTCGCATGCTTGCTCTTGTCGAGGATCGTAACCCAAAAGCGACTCAAGGTGGTCCTATCCGCTATTGAGTCCACATGCTACATCCCATGCATCAGCATGAACACTTTAAATTATTTTCTCTCCATATTTTTTTTAGTTCTTGCTCTAAATCAAAGATAATAAAATTAAAATAGTTGCAGGAAAACCCAAGCGTCTTGTGACATGCTATATATTGGAAGATTTATTCGGATATCAAATATTTCAATTGGTAGCATCATTATGAGCTTGGTGCTGCTTGCACAAGCGGCAGGAATGGAATAAATTTAGTGTCCGACCCACGTTTAGCATCATGGAATCACAAGCCGCAGTTGTGTTCTCATTATGAAAGACATTTGTTGAAAGTGCAGAAATAATTAGCACTTAAATTGCTAGCGATGAGCAAGCATTATATACAAGCAAGAAAATGGATAGCTTCCCGAGCACACCATGAGCGTTTTCACGTGTGTAGGGAAGCAAACATGAGAGTTCAGCGGCTGAATTCCTTTTAGAGGAACGCACAATAATGCGGAGCTGGCGGCGTGTGGGCCGCCAGGCCGAGCGCCTTGATAGACCCCTTTTGGAATGCTCTTGGCAGCTGTCAAATCCCTGCACGTTGGCAGGCTAAAACGTTACGGCACACTTCATGGTTGGATTAAAGGGCCACTGCCAGAAAAAAGGAGCGCAGTGATGTTGCACTTCCGACGCTGTTTGATTGACTTCTCCTATCGTTGGCCGCCCTCTGACGTTCGTTATCGCGTATCGTTCTACCATGTCAGTTGCAATTGTGCAGTGGTTCTGAACTTTGAATACTCGGCCCGTGAATTTCGAAAGGGCTCCTCTGGCAGTTGGCGGTGTCTGCAGTGGGGTCAGAACAAACATTGGCATCTGCCCAACGCTGCACATTGGCGGCGCACGCTCAGAGGTGGGCTACCTCAGGCCCAGCGTCTGCCGGCAGATGTCGCATGCGCAGTCTAAGGCGCACCGCTCCCACGCTCTAGACAGGTTTGATGCCAAGTGTACAGTGCTCAAAGACTTGAAACAGGCCAGCAGAATATCTGCCATGTCAAGTTTCATACATTGATGTCGTGAGTCACATAGGGGCACAGCTGACACAAGCACAAAAGGACTGTTTGTGCTTGGTACACAATTTTTATAGGAAATCTCTATTTCCTCTGTCAGCAAATTCTCACGCCCACACATTCTGCAGGTCCATTCCATGTATTTACTGCTGTGCATCCATGCCTGGACAATATTAGTTGAAATCGCTGGTCAGCAGTTTTGAAGTTGTGATTGTTCCTCTTAAATGTTAAAAGTTTCAGCTATCATACTACACCAACCCAGTGCCAAATGTGAAATACCACCCATCTTTTGCGTCGGACAGAAATATAATTTTTCCAAGAAACAGTGGCACATTGCCCGTCCAACATGAGTTGCGGCCGCGTACCTAGCAAAAGGGGCAAGCTCCACACATGCTCCAGGGGAAAGAAACCTAGGGTAAATTTAGGAAGGTTTTCAAACTTACAGATCTGCTTGGTTTGTTTAAAAGTGGAGAACATAAATCCTTACTTAGCCCAGTGATGAGCAGTGATTCTTCCAGCCATGCTCATAATTGATGGTAGTTAGACATCATTTAAATGCTGTATTTATAATCACTTTGCTGCTCTTCCTCTGGGCTTTATTAGGAGCAGGAGGGGAGGAGCATGTTTCTGATAAGATATTATGGGGAAGGCTGGGTGCATAGATTCATAGTTTGTGGCATCTCAACATTCTAGGAGCAGGAAGATCCTAGTCATAGTGCCCTAAAAGGAAGAGACAGACCTCCTTACTAGTGCACCTAAGTGTCCTCAGTTCATGCCGAGCCTTCTTTTTTTATTGTTCTTGTACTTCTCAGAATTTATTTGCAGGCTAGGTTCAATTCTCAAGCAGCTGTGAAGCAGATGTTTAGTTTCTACAAAGAACTGACTCATAAACTTAGTTGTTTTCATAGTTGTTCCATACCTTTCACGTTGCTCAGTCCACTTTGTTAAAAAATATCTATCACTGGAGGGTGGGCATGGTATTGAGATATTGTCATTATTGCAACAAAGAAGTATGGCCACTAATGACTGGTTTGGGCTCTCAATTTAAGCTTGACTGTTTCAGCTAATGCCATCCAAAAGTAAAATTTAATTTTTGTTTCATCATAAAGTTTAGCGTGTGTTGTAGTTTACTCGCCATGCAAGCTCAAGCTCTTGCTGCATGTTTTAAATGGTGCTGCATCTATACCAGTCATTGTTACTAGCTTTCCCCAATTCTGGGGAAAAGTTAAAAATTTTGTAAGTTTTTATTCATACTTTTTGGATTTCTTTGGATCGGAATGGTGGAGAAGGAACTGCACATTGCTTGAACCCTTACAAAATGTGCAGTACCTTCAGCTTTTTGTGCTTTTTGCTTTTTGTGCTTTTGTGTGACCTGGTGATTTGCTTTTCCAAGGTATAAAGCTGCCATCAGCCAAACGACTTAAAACTAAAGGTATACCGTTGGCCTTAGCATGCAATAAGCCTGGTATTTTGCTTTTACCCTTTCCCCCATGTTCATTGCACAAAGGTGCATTTTTTTTTCTCCCTGTTGGGATTGTTGGACACCCAAAGATAGAGAAATAGAGAATTTTATAGATGTCTAACTCAACAATACTATCGGCTTTTTAGTGTGTTAACCCTCTAACTCTCTGCATCTGGAACTAATTGCTTACTGAGAAATTAAGCATTATTTCCTAAAAAGCATGAGTTAAGCATATTTGCGCTCTAACATCTACTAATTTGAATGGTCTGCTGGGGATTTTTGGGGGGAGTTCTCAATTTAAATTAAGAATTTATTTGTTTATTCCTAAACACTGATCTTCTTACTTGAAACAAAGTTAATGTGAATATGGTGGTTTTACATATTAATCAATTAGTTCTTATATATTGCTAAAGTATATTGGTTGTACTCGGCAGATTTACTTCTGAACGCACAGGAAGTGTTCTTCATTGCCTCACTTCTTTTCTTGTTTTTCCCAGATCATCCATTCTACTCTGTACCTATTGTGACTGAACCCTGGAATTGTGAAATTCTAAGCAATCTAAATTACCACCTTAAGATGCACAATGGGGTTGTACACGTCTACAAAAATCAAGAGGATGTAGATGCAGAGAAGCCCCTGGACTTCCCTTACATAAACCTCACTCAGTTTGTGAATGACCTCAACCTCATGTGCGCTATGATTGCCGATGGACCACTGTAAGTTTGTTTTGATGTAGCAATCTTATGTGATCTTTCATAATTGCTTTGTTGTCGTACAGTATCGAGGATGATCTTGGCCTTCACCCGATGAACCTCACTTTGGATTACCAAATTTTATGAAAAAATATTGGTGTCTAGACACTTCCAGGTCTTTGACCTTGAATTGTTTCTTTTTTATAGTTCCTCTTGTTCTTAATTTCTGCTAGTACAAAATTGTTGCATAGCTTGAACATAATTTTTCACACATTCCACCTGAGACCTTAGTCAAAGAGGCTTGTGAAACAAAATCTTCAAGCTCTCATTTTAAGTGTTGTATTAGCAGTATCATTCTTTCCCTCGAAATCCACCTTTCTTTTATGTCTCGAAATGTTAGATTACTTGGGTAAGATTTAAGCTTTGCGAAACATTTTGTCACGCAATAGTAGTCTCAATTGTTGCATTTCCCATTTCTTCGCTCAGTATTGCTGTTAGCTCTAAGGGATGATTTTTAACTTCCGTTTCTTCTCATAATCTATAAATGATTTTTGTTAAACCATTCAAACCAAGTACTTCCTGTAGTGGTACCTTAGCTTAGTGAACAAGCTGGACTGGTTTTTTTTGCTCAGTAAAATTTTTGGTTCTACACTGCTGTGCTAGTTCATAGTCTCCAGCTTGACCAGCAAGATAATTGCCTTGCTTATGATAATAGCATGTGAGGTTTATGGACATTCAGGTTCAAGGTCTAAGACTGTTCGGCTCGTGCAGGAAGTCGTTCTGCTATCGACGGCTGAGCTACTTGTCGTCGAAGTTCCAGCTGCATGTGCTACTGAATGAACTCAGGGAACTGGCAGCCCAGAAAGCTGTTCCTCACAGGGACTTCTACAACATCAGAAAGGTTTGTGTCTTTTGGCTGTCTTCTGCATATATTCCATCAGGACACATTGGTTTCTATGCGCAATTCAGGCACATGCTGTTGATGCATGGTCTCTACTAATCTCATAGTAACTTAAAATTGGAGACAGTCAGAGTTTTTTCATTATACTTGTGGCCACACGACTGTGACTACAAACTTTATTCTTTAGTTTTAGCAGATCAATTCAATTTGCTGTTTGCAATTCTTGTGAGTATTTGACATCTTTATAAAAATTGCATTCCTATTGAATCATTTAAAATCACTTTTTAACTTGTTCTGGGGATTTCTAGGGATAAATGCACATGCTGTTCTACCGAAAGTTGTGCTAGGTTTCTGTGTTGCCATCGGGTACATTCTGAATTTTTTTTGCGGGAAGACCTTCAGTATTTAATGCCATTGGCTTACCTTCCCTAAGCCATGTGCTCCGTGACCTAACATTTTCTTAACTGGGCACCAATTAGCTCATGAAATTGTACTATGCATAACAAAAAAAAATGAAGAATGTTGGTTTCTTGAGTCCTCCAAAGTTATAGTTATCTTTACAAATTCGAAAGATAGTCTAACCTTTTAGGCAGAACTGTCAGAGGAACCTTCTAGAAACCTCAGAGTGGCAGCTGGCACTTTGTTAGAGGACTTGGACTAAGTCCTTTCGCAGAATGTCGGCTTCTACTCGGGCTTCCATGGTCGGCTTGGTTGAAACAAAATAAGTTGCGCCCTATTTAAGGCAGTTTGAAGGAATGTGCTGCCAACATTCAAGCGGAGTAATGTGTAAAGAGTGCATCTTATACCCTCATGCACTCCAGCCCTGGCAATGCTTTTATATGAGACTGTGCAATTTCATTTCAAGCAAGCTGGCTTGAGAGGTTTCTTACCCTAGTTGTCTTTATAGTACACATAAACCAGACTCAGACATTTTTATGATGTGTAAGTTCATTGTGTTTCCATCTTTGTTGTTCGCGTGAAGTAGGGGTTCTTGAACTTTAAATCTTGAGGAATGCCTCGCCTTATCCTGAGGAGCACCTTCCTATTTTGGCATTGATGCATTGAAGCAGTGCAGAAGCTTACAAATCCTTGTAAACAATGATGTACATACTAGGTAGTATTTTGCACATTGTTAGGCATCAATGTTTATCAGTGAACCATCAATGGATGGCTTAAAGCTTCTAATAATAATGCAGACTAATCTGAAGGAATACTTCATTTAGAGGCAGAGATGATCAAGGAAGTTTGGGAGCTTGGTGGACCCTTCAGGGTGTTCCCTGGAAACCAAGCCTAGAAACCATGCTTTAAAACACCGTAACCCAACAGTATTGCTTTTTAAGTCAGTTATTATGAATTGCCATCAACTATTTTATGATTTTGTAATTTATAAGAAAATTTTACTACTAAAGAATGTGCTAACTATACTGTATTTTTTTCCCCTAAGCCATGACAGAGCATGCTTGTCATTTATCCATCATTACCCCTCTGGTTCCTAGGTTGATACACACGTCCACGCTGCATCATGTATGAACCAGAAGCACCTGCTCAGATTCATCAAGAAAATGATGAAACTGCATGCCGATGATCATGTCTGCAAAGTTGGTGACAGGTTTTTGACTCTGCAAGAGGTAGGCACATTTGCTTTTGTTTCTTTGCACCAAGTAGAAAGGACACATTCACGCTCTGCAGTTCAAGTGTAATAGTAAAATGTAGTCCTTTCAGCGACCATGAGTAATATTGCTGGATTTGTTAAACAATCTTGCTGGATTTATTAAATGGCTTGTGCTACTGTGCATGTGCTTGCTTACAACGTTCTTGCCAGGATTAGTTACAGCATCTTTTTCTTTTGTTCAGAAATATCATTGGTGGCATGCCTCCTTATGGAGTTATGGATTGCTTACAAAATGTTGCTGTACTTCAGAATAAGATATTGTCAACTACTTCATACTCTCTATGTATCATCTGTTCCTTCACCTATTTGTTTTGCAATAAAGTAGGGAAGATTGGGAGTATCATATTTCTACTGCAGTCTGTGGGTCACACCTTTCCATTCAAGCTTTATGTGTCCATGAGAAGAAGCTTGTCAACATTGTTGCTGTGGTAATACATTGGGTGTATGCAGTGGTTGAACGCAATTTGCAGAGAAATTATGGCCATGTTTTTACTGTACAAATTACTTTTAAACTGGCGTAAGTAATGTGCTTTTTCTGTGTCATCAGTTATGCACAAGTATGCTTTTGCAGCTTGCACACTTGCAGCACCTTTTTTGAAATGGCATGACATATAATGCATGGCTTATGGCATTTTAGAGACTTGTCATGCAACTTGTATAAAAGTTATGTGAAGCCACTGTGGTTGCTTCCACGTCAAGATGTGCACTTAGCCACGCACTAATTGCATCCTAGTTTAGAGTTGTGTGCTTCTGTGTGGATGTCTTGACCTGTTGGTAACCATAAATGTAGTGCTCTCTTATAGATTTCCTTTCCTTTGTTGATTTTAGCCATTGGATGCTTTTGTTCCGATTTATTGCATGAAATGAATGCATACACCCACTGCTTATGGTGGTCCTGGTCTTTAATTACATCCTGCATTACTCTTCTATCTTCCTTAGTATGGCTGTTTCAGCCGGGGATTTGATCAGGAATTTGATGGAAAGGTGTGTATAACACTGCTGCATTGGCGATGCAAGTGAATTATCTGTTCCTTTTTAATATGAACAGCAAGAAATCACTAACCACCAGCAAGCAACAAGTAGCACATTGTACAAACCCTGCAGAAATTATTGTTTTCAGTTCAGAGATGGTATTTACGGTATAAGGTTCTTTCATGATGAAACTTGGAGAGTCACTGAAGGGAGTTTTCAGTTCATATTTATGAAAGTTATTATTTGCTAATTACATTGACCCAGGGGTGATGGAGGAAGTTGTGTGTCTGAAAGGGGCTTAGCATAAGACATCAATTAAACAACCCCACCTAATTGAGTACCTGTCGCTGCACACCCATGAATGTAGACGACTGTGACAATGACTGCCACTGTCGTCTGCGACTGTGACAGTCACGGGCGTACGAGTGACCATGAATGCAGACGGCTTTGACATTAAGGCCAAATTATGGGCAGAGTTCTGGCGAATGCACAGGAAAGCCTTAGAAGTTTTAAGGTGTGCTTTGGTTGAACAAATGGGCTGACTTGTGCCTTTTGCTACTGAAGAGCTTAGTGACCATTCTGCTTCTATACACGTTTGCAAGTCCGGCCACAGGGCGCTGCCATCTTGCCTGTCTGGGGTGCGCTTGGACCAGTCATAATCCGATTAAGAAGCCTTGCTAAGGCGTCGTAATCGGATTATGGCCGCTGCCGAGAGCGCACCCCACTGAGGAAGATGGCGGCGCCCTGAGACCGGACTTGCAAACGTGTATAGCTGACTGATGTTAGGCAGAAACAAAATATATACAAAGGTTTTGTATCCAGTTTAGGAAGATTAACCAAAGCACTTCTCTTACATTAAAAAAAATTCTAAAAGGTTTCTTTGAACCTCTTTGCAGTAAAAAACATTCACAGGGTCTCTTGTTTTATCCCTAAGTTGGCTTGAAGGCAAAAGCCCAAGCGCCGATGCATTAAGGACAGACATATGATTTACTTTGTTTAACATTCTCTTTTTCGTATTCTCTCTTTCACATTTTCTTTATTTGTTTCATATGTTATTTCCAGATTTCATGCACACAATTCCTCGTAGTCCTCTTACTTCTCTTTAATGCCTCTTAATTCACTTTGATTTTTTTTATTTTGCTTTGTTGTCCTTCTTAATTTCTTGCCTCTAATTTGCCTGAGTAGTCACATACATGTTTTGGTGCCTTTCATGTCGCCGACGTGTTTTCGCTCATGGACTTTGAAGGTCGGCTGAACAATGAGACGTATAAGGCTTTTGCCTTAAAAAACCATGCCCCTTAAAAAAAGTTTGAAATTTCCTTCAGCGACATTTTAAGGAGTACTAAGTGAATAAAGTTATATTTTGATGAGGGCATCAATGGGTGAAGGCTACTTGTTGTTTGTTGATAGAACTTGCTTAATATGTCTCATAAAGTTTTTTAACAATTTTCGCTTTTTATTTTTGTCATCTCACAGCATGATAAAAAATTTGTACAATCTAATCTTTTTAATTCAAACTCTCTTAATTCAAACTTGCTGATAATTCAAACTAACACGCAGGTCCCATCCTATGCAGCTCTATGGGAGAAAACTCCCGGTAATTCAAACTTTGCTTTATTCAAACAAATTTTCGGTCCCCCTCAAGTTTGAATTAACGAGATTTGACTGTAATATGACACTCGTAAACTTTGCATCTTCAGCATATCTGGAAAGATTTTCATGTACAAAGATATGGCAGGAACAAGCAACTTGTTAAAGCGGGCAGCAAATTTCAAAAGAATGTTCAGGCGATTCTGAAATTTTTAGCCCTTGCCATGTGTAAAACTAAGAACTCATACTAGTATTAACCTGCTTTCCTCTCTGACAGGAGCACATCAGCTGGTATGATTAATATCATGACAACATATATTAACCTCATTCTGGTCTTCCCAAGCAATTAATAACAGGAGTGTCTGCTTCATATAATACTGTGCTTTGTTTTTATGTTTTATGTGTGCCTTTATGTTGTTCAAATCTAAACAGAACTCTGATGAACATAAGAATCTTTGTATTCGATTACAATCATGTGTCGTTAATATGGACTCGTCAGTTTCTCAGAAAAATTGTTCTTTATGTGTCGTCCATAATAAAGAATCGAGGACAAGATCTCAAATAAATGAGTGTGGCCATAAAAGCCTTCATATCACGGTCTCTTGCCACTTCATGTCTGGCATAGCCTTACTTTTTTCTGAGTGGCAAGGGAAGTGCCATGTCTTCACTTTTATGCTCGTAGGAAGGGAAGTGTCCTGCACATAGGAAGACAAGGGCAAGTGACCCATTTGGCTTGAAAGCCCTGAAAAATCGAACCGTTGTCAGGTGCCCAGGCCTTACCTCTTTCTTGGTTGGGGCAACCAATAACAGACGGTGGTGAAGCTCTGAGTGTGGTTGGAGACAGGAGTGATGAGGCAAAGAGGCACATCTTTACCCAGTTTGTTCCCATACTACCTGTCCATAGTCCAGACTGCAGGTTCCTTTTTTATAATTACAGGCAGAATTGTATGAAGAGGAATAGGTTACCAAAATAATTTCTTTTTATATGTAGCAGGGTGTTTATATTAATTAAACATGACTGCATCAGAAGTAAGCAACAGACATATTGCAGCATCATTGACTATTAACATAATTGCAGTTGTAGATATCATTAAATAAGAACCTTTTTTTCTTTTTTTAAATTAGTAGTATAAGTATGTTGCATTACCGAGGGATGCTTCTGAGAAATTTGTGCGCACTATGTCAGGCCGCCGATTCTTTCAGGTCATTCCAAGCACAGAGATACTCTTTCCAGATATGCATTTGTCACTGGTCTATCTGACCTCAGGAGATGACAATACTACATTATAATCTTTATGTATCTGCATGAAAATGCATGAAACATAACAATTGTAATTTATGGTTGCATTTCATGGAGAGTAACCTAGCGTGTGTGCTTCTCTTTCAGGTTTTTAGCGCCTTGAATGTAACAGCGTACGATTTGAGTGTTGACATGTTGGACGTCCATGCTGTATGTATAAGGTTCACTTTCTTTGCATGTTTAATTAAAATATTATTACTCTTCAGAAAACTAATGAAAAGATTCTGCATACTAAACTTCCGTTCTTATTTTTGCAAAGGACCGGAACACGTTCCACAGATTTGACAAGTTCAATACCAAGTATAATCCAGTAGGAGAAAGCAGACTGAGGGAAATTTTCCTCAAGACTGACAACTACATTAATGGAGAGTACTTCGCAGAGATACTGAAGGTTTGTGAGTTTTGCTGACACCTCATAATCTTGCATTATCATCTTTCTGTGTATGGCACAAATAGCTTTGCTTCAAAGCATATTTATTTTAGAAACTCGATTGTTTGGTAAAACTAATTTTGCACTGTTCATACTTTTTTTTTTTTTTATAATATGCTGTTAGTGAAAATTTAATCACTCTTGTTGGGCAATTCATACTCTCATAATGCTCTCCTCTTCATGATCTGATTGCTGAGCATGTTTTTGGTCAGTTATCCCTCTGGGCATCTCTGTCTTGCAGGGGAGCACAGTAGTGGTGCAAAACTATTGATAGTACTATTGGTAGTATCGATAGTTGCCCGAAATCTGACTAGGTATTGGTAATAAAAAAACTATTGATAGTACTATCGATAGTTGACTATAGAAAAACTATCGATAGTACTATCGATAGTCGACTATCGAAAAAATGAAAGCCGTTTACAACTCCCTGTAACGCCGAATTAGAGCGCAGCTCTTGAGGAGGAGGGAAGGGTACTAGAAACCAGGGTCAAGGGGGGGGGGGGGGGGGGGTCACGTGATCTTGGAGACCTGTGGGGTCACATGACCCTGGGGGAGGGGTCACGTGACCTTGGGGGGGGGGGGTCACTTGACCTTGGGGGGAGTCACTTGACCTCACGGTTACGCCGACAGCGACGCCGCTCAAACCGCAAACGGGTGCCTAAGAGCTGCACTCTAAACTATCGATTGTACTATCGAAAAACTATTGAAAGTACTATCGATAGCCGGCTATTGAAAAACTATCGATAATTCTAACGATACTCGGTTATCGAAAAGCTATGGGTGGTACTATCGGTAGTCGACTATCAGAAAATTATCGTGAATCGACTATCGGAAAACTATCGATAGTCGACTATCGTAAACCTATCAACAGTACTGTCGACTGTTTACTATCGATAGTTTTATGACACCAGTAATTTGTGTTGCGCCCTCTTTTTTTTTTTTTTCTCGCTTTATGTTTTTAGTGGGACACCAACTAGCCCAAGCACTTACCATCCAAACTTTGGTTCAGCTTTCAGTGATGATGAAGACGGGAGTTTGGGCGAAGAGAGGAGGAAGGGAGGCGAGCGGCAGTGCGGCAACTGTGTTCACTCTAGTGGTACAAACCTATCAATAGTACTATCAATATTCGACTATCGAAAAACTATTGAAAGTACTATCGATGGTTGACTATCGAAAACTATCGATAGCACTGCGACGCTAACGATGGTTTTGGAAAAACCATCGATAGTCAATTTATCGATAGTTTTTCATCACTAAAGCACAGCAGTGCTGTGCTCCCCTGCTGTGCTGAGTAGCAGATTGTCATCTTACTCACCGTTCAATGTACTCGAGATGCCGAAGTGTGGTCGAAGGTAGAAAAGCTGGTGCTGGGGGTGGGGCAACTCAGGCCCCTTCATGCCCTTTTTCACATTGCCAGTGACTATAGAGGAAAGAGAACTCGGAAATTCTCTTTCTCCCATGCTTTCTGAAGGGCTTAGGACACGCGAAAAACAAAATAAAATATTTATACTGCTAGGACCCGTTGTGCGTTAATATATGTTTGCTAAATTTGCTTTGTAACTGGCATGGTTGTTTTGTGGCTGAAACGATTTATATGCTGGACCCTCAGATCCACTCCATTCGCGTGGACCACCATGTTTGGTGGGTTAGCGACGTCGCATGCCCCATCGCCTGGCGTCTCCTTGCACGCACTCGCAGACTCTACTCTCTCGGCACGTCTCCACTTCAGCTTCCTCATTTACCTTCCGCATTTCGAGCATGCAGTTTCGAGACGACGACGTCTACAATATCGCTCGCTTCATCGAAGTCTTCGACACTAATCGTAGCAGCAACAAGGGTGTTCGTTATTGAGAGATGTTGGAAGCTGGTCACTTTGACTGCGACTCACTTGTGACCAGCTCCAGTGACGACGAGGAGGTCATCACGGACGAGCTTGCCATCGCCCGCGACGCTCTCACGTGCGTGCCGGTTGGAAGGTTGAAAAGAGAGGAGACAAGAGCGAGAGTGTACGTTGGAGTAGTCGAGTAGTGTATGGTGCAATCGTACGGTGGCGACGCTAGGTTGGACAATTACGTGTGCGCCTAGAGTGAGAGAGCGTTCAAATCCACATCATCATCACGCGGTGTATGGGCACCATCGTGGCAGTGGGACTAACTTGGGCAGTGTTGCCTGGTTGCCCAATGAAACTTATCAACATTAGTAAATGGTTTATTGCAATTAGTAGAGTCCTAATAATATCAAAACTTGATGTAGGTACTAAGTAATCTACAAGCATTTAATTTAATTGCCAGTTAGCTTTTGGAAGTTGAAGCACAACTGTTATTTTTCCCACATTAGACATACTGGCTATTATATCGTAGCCAGTTGGAGTATTGCAAATTGTTTACTCGGTTATCTGGGCCCAACGCTAGCAATCGGATTTCACATTGTTGGCAACTCCTGTTCGCAGACATTGGCAAATACTGCGGGTGTAGGGGATGTGCCAACAAGTGGTGATGGAAAGGGGCCATGCTTAACTTTGCCTTGTTCTTTTGCTCTCTTCCACCAGGAAGTGATGAGCGACTTGGAAGAGTGCAAGTACCAGAATGCGGAGCTGCGGCTTTCCATCTATGGCCGGTCGCGGGACGAGTGGGATCGCCTGGCCACGTGGGCCGTCCGCAACACCATGTACTCCGACAACGTGCGTTGGCTGGTGCAAGTGCCCAGGCTCTAGTGAGTCCTCCTAGGTGTCTCGCAGAAATATGCTCTCACCGTTTTGGTACGGGGAGTGCCTCACGACTTGTCGCTCTTGCATTTCAGTGACGTCTTCAAGTCCAACAAGATTGTCAAAAATTTCGAAGAGATCTTGGAGAACATCTTTATGCCGCTCTTTGAGGTCACCAACGATCCCAGCTCGCATCCAGAGCTTCACCAATTCCTCCAATACGTATGTTGAGTTTGTGTATCGCTCGGCAGTTTAAAAGAAACTTTACAGGTTGCTCAAAGGTCACTGTGAATGCAGTATACGAATGCAATATGGAAACTTCTTCGGAGAAGGAAATTCCTTTAGAATTAGTTCTGTAAGAAATGGCTCAGTATACCTAGTATGTAGTTCATCATCCCAGGATTCTGGAATTTTGGCGTATTCAAGATGAAAAAAGTTTGATGCTTCTGACTTAAATTGAGAAAACTATTGGGTACTGCCCCTCACTAATTTCAGGGTTGTGAAATACTTGTGTTTGATGCAAAATCAGCTTTCAAAATTGTGTGACCATTATTAATGTGAAAGCATTAACTGTCCCATGGAGCGAGCTGACGTCATAAGTTTGAAGCACGAAAACGGCACCTAGTTTCCACGATCCCAATAGGAGTGAAGTAAAGCTGATGGATTTCGCCTTAGGTTCCATTGGCTGGCACATGTCGATGGGGCTCCCATTGACCGCTGTGCTCGTCAGTTTCTGTGACCGCTCACCCCATGGCACTGCACGTCCATGAGCGCGCCGTTAACACGGAGAGTCCAATGTCAGCGTGCCCAGCGGAGCACGTGCGCTGACCGGCGACGAAAAGTGCGCGGCGGAGGAAAAGGGAGCGGACAAGCGGCTTGCATGCTTTCGCATTCACGACTCATAAGAAGTGCTTAGGTGTACCACAAGCTTTTTTTTTGTTTTCTGGAAAAAACTAGATTTAAAGGCAACTTCTTTTTTTTTTTTTTTCAGTTTGATTAGAATAATAAGTTGCACATCTATAAGGCTAACATTCCTGCGGACAAGCGGCTTGCATGCTTTCGCATTCACGACTCATAAGAAGTGCTTAGGTGTACCACAAGCTTTTTTTTTTTTTTTTTTCTGGAAAAAAACTAGATTTAAAGGCAACTTCTTTTTTTTTTTTTTTTCAGTTTGATTAGAATAATAAGTTGCACATCTATAAGGCTAACATTCCTCCTCCTCATCAAAAACAAATCTTTTCCCCGGCCAGACATTTACACCACTAGCAAAACTAATTATAAGGAATTATATTTTACCGTGTATAACCTACTTTGTCTGGCTTGAGAGAGAGGTTAAACGGGCACTAAAGAGGATTCTGCTATCGTCTGTTCTTGGTCATAGCTGATTCTATTGGCCCTAAGTATCCTAAAAAATTCAAAATTTCTATCCTGCGACGCCGATTTTCTAATTAAAAACCTGATGAAAGGTCGTGACACACCACTTTCTGAGCCGATTTTTCCGCTCAGGAAAGGCAGGGCATACCCCAGCAGCGGTGTCTGCGCAGTGACGATGGGCGCTCATCTGCCAACTGGGACGAACGCCCATTGTCACCGTGCTAACACCGCTGCTGGTGTATGCCCCGCTTTTCCTCAGCGGAAAAGTCTGCTCAGAAAGGGCTGTGTCCCGACCTTTCATCGCATTTTTAACAGGGAAATTGGCGTCGCATGATTGTAATTTCTTTAATTTTTAGGATGCTTATAGGATAAGTTATCACCAAGAACAGACAACTGCAAAACCCCCTTGAAACCCTTGCCTACTAATAACGAATGTCACTCGTGTCACCCTTTACAGACCATAAAGCCCAACCACGAGCGTGACTCGTGTTTCGGTTTCGGCGCTTGTTTAGCACACTCTTTGGCAGAGGGCAGAACCGTTCCTGTTCCTCCATTTACCTTGGGTAGTTTGCTCATTTATTTTGCTGTTCGACAGAGAGAGAATGCTTCATTTATCCGAGAAAAAAAAAAGCGGTCACTTATGAGCGTTCACGCTAAAACAACATGGCTTTGGCGTGGAGGAATCGGACGATAGTTTGATAAGCAGTGACAGGAGTGATGAAAACTATGTGAATCCTGCAAGCATTCTATCAAATTCAGCGTCTGCACGTCAGTGGGACTCGAACCAGAAGTTGTGATTTAGAGCAAGAAATGACAGATGGAAGTCAAGGAAATGTTTTTGTCTTATATTAATGCAAATTGCCCATTTAAAATAAAACTTTCCAGTATGTCCCTTGAGAGAAAAAAATTAGGGGGCAAGGGGTTAGTCGAATTGTACAGCACAGTGGAATTATAAGGGTAGGAAAACAAAAAAAGAAAATTGACCAATAAATCACTTCTGCCCTGTGCATGTCACCCAAACATGCCGACGGCATCGTAATAAAATAATCCCTCGCAAAAGGGAAGGGTGCCCTCAGCCCGGTGTCCATGGTCCATTTAACGCGACTGCAATCAAACTTATGTTCAAGTTGTGACTACCGAGGAAAATGGTGTTTGCTAGAACTACCAAACAATGGAGGATTCTGCTTGCATACGTGCAGTATTTTCTTATATCTTAGTTCAAAACAACTTGAAGATTGTGTATGCATATAGGACTTGCTACATTGAAGCCTAGTTTTGGGTAAGGTATGAGAAATGCTTCCCGCCCCATGTGCAGGTTGTCGGCTTTGACTCTGTGGACGACGAGTCGAAGCCCGAGTACCCTATGATCGACAAGGACGTTCCCTTGCCCAAGGAGTACACTGACAGTGAGAACCCGGCTTACAACTACTACCTCTACTACATGTATGCCAACATGTGTGTACTCAACCACTTCCGCAAGTGAGTGCAGCCTTTATTCACTGGTAAAACATGCACGCTCTTTACTTTCATTGCAGGTCAAGTTCTGTAAAAAAAAATTAGTTTGTACCGTTCACCAAAAACAGCAGTTCGATGAAATGAAACCTCGATTCTGGTGAGACACCGGTAGGCCGACAGACTAATGTCGGAGGTTTTCATGTTGCAGCTCGGAACAGATGCCTCAATTTTCTTTGGAGCTCAGTATATATGGGTTGGACGGATCGCTTCAAAAATGGCCAGCTTGTTATTAATACTGGTAAAGCGAGTCTTCGGCGAAAATGACATGTCATGCTGCCATGAGTGCAAGGGACTATCTTACAGCGGACCTGTTAAGGGCTAGTTTCCCCAGTATCTTGTCCGCGGACAAGTGGCATGTCGACACAAAACTCCAGACAGCTACCGCCATCTGTGAACAACGGCGGCAACCAGACAATCGGCTTACCGGTTGTCTGGTTGCCAACATTGCTCATACATGGCAGCAGCCTTTCCAGCCTTTCCACTCTGGTTTTCACTAGAGTAGAAAGGCTCAATTTCTCTAGACGTCGTCCCAGACGTTGTACGTCTTTTAGGTCGTCCTAGACGTTGCCCTTTAGGTCATCCTAGATATCGTCCTTGAGGTTGTCCTCGAGGTCATCCTAGAAGCCATCCCTGAGGTTGTCCTAAAAGTCGTCCTTGAGGTCGTTTTCGAGGTTGTCCTAGAAGTCGTCCTTAAGGTCATCCTAGACGTTGTCCTTGAGGTTGTCCTAGACGTCACCCCTGAGGTCGTCCTAGGCGTCGTCCTCTGGGCGTTGTGTTCAAGGTTGTCCTCGAAGTCGTCCTTGAGGTCATCGTCCTTTTGAGGTCGTCCTAGACATCGTCCTCTAGGCATTGTCCTAGACGTCGTAAAGATAATAGCTTCGCTGGTCCTCCATCTTGGCGTGAAGTGGATGGGCTCTACATTTTTTTGTTTGGTTATGACATTTTATGCAGCTTGCAGAATTTCTTGTCAAAACATTTTCAAGCCCCCCCCCCCCCCCCCCCCTCCTCCCAAAAAAAAGATGCCTGGAAAGAAAAAAAAAATTTAAATAATACGGAAATGTTGAGTCTTTTGTGGGTATTGATAGATGGTGCCAGTGTCTTCTCTAATCCCGGGAGATCTCAAAAGGTCATAATTAGTCGCACTCGGTCATAAGTAGTCGCAAGTGTATGAACCTGTATTAATGCTCGAAGTCCTTCCCCAAAATGATTGAATGTCAGAACTGGTAGATTAGTATAAAAGTACTAAAAATAGAAAAGGGCACTTTTTCTATATATACATAATTTTCCTCTAGGATAACTTACTGGTGTGTGGGCAGGCATGGACTTTGCGTGTTTTACTCCTTTATAGTGAAATAAAGTAATTTCTTTTTTGCTTTTACTGAGTATTCTGGATTCACCACTCTGAGCTTGAAGGCTCATTTCCACGATTATTTTTTCATCTGGCAGAAAACCCTCCTCAGTGTCCTTCTCTCACGCTGTACCCTCCCCCAAAAAGTGCAGGTCTGAGACCTTTTCGTCAATTCACTATAAGTGTGAGCGTAGCAGAAGCTACAAGAGTGAGTTCCGGGCTTTTAGCATCCCTGCCAAGCATGCACGTTTGCACAAACACCGTTCGGGGCAAGATGCTGGTGCTTGTAGCATTATCTTCACTCAAACATAAAGTGCAAAATACTATGGTCTGCTGAAATGGAAAGGACGAATCGAGGAGCGCTTTCCTTTTTACCGACCACGCGTGGGGATGTGCCTTCCCTGCGAGTCTCGCAGTAACACTGTTGCATATGCTTGGTCCTGTGCAGGAAGCGTGGCCTGAACATCTTTGTGCTTAGGCCCCACTGCGGAGAGGCGGGTCCCGTCCAGCACCTTGTTGGAGGCTACCTCCTCTCGGAAAACATCAACCATGGGCTCCTGCTCAGAAAGGCATGGAAACAGATTTCCCCTTTTTCTTGGGTTTTTCTCCGCAGACATCTCATTGTTCCTAAATAAGGTCATGAATGCTTTACTGAAGTAGTGAAATATAAACATGGCAGGTGTCGATTTCCACGGATTGCTTCAGCAACATTGTAGTCACTTTCGGGGATGCAGCTTGTAATGTGGCGACCCGTTAGGCAGACTTTTGTCGTCACTTTGGTCTAGCATGCATGTTGGTTCTGCAGTCTACTGTACCATGTCGGGTGGCACTGTTTTTGGATATACTTGCTTCATTCTTCTGATTGTCTTGTGCTCGCAAAAAACTCAATCAATAAAGCAGTTAATTTCTTTCTATTGGAGAGGGGAAAGGAGAAAAATTGCCCCTTTGCCATTATAGCGTCGCAAAATTTCAATACCAATCCAGTTTCCCCGCTAAATCTAGCAAGAAAAATTACCGTATTTACTCGAGTAACAGCCACACTATTTATGAACAAGGATCTTATTGTCTACTTTCCCCACATAATACATATAAAGCCACTCATTGTGTTGCACATAAATAACATAACGAATACCCAGATCGAGAACACACTTCTCCGTACAAATGCAATCTTCACAGATGGTATCTTTGCATGAAGACGTTATCTCTGTCCTGTAAACAGCTGGAATTATGCTGTCGATCGCGGTGATTGGCAATCTGTGTGCTCCGCAAAAAAGCGAATCCTCATGCTTTCTTTATAAACATTACTTGAGTAAATATGGTATGTCGCATGACATGACATCACATCTCTTCAAATCTAATTCAGTTTCGCTGCTAAATTTAGCGGGAAAATGACGTCGCATGGTTTGATGTCACGTGATGCACACATGTATGCTCGCTTGAAAAATTTGCATCTGACTGCCCGCGGCTCTTTTAGTTATGTTTGTAGCTAATTGTTTGAAGGGATACTTCGACGATATTTGAAATATACCAGTCGTGTTTAAAAATAGGTTGAATATGACCCACAATATCCGTAAATGACATTTGCACGTTGGTATATTGAGTTTGGTGGCTGTATTTTTCGTTACAAACGCCCACTCTGGCAAGCGCTCGGAGAACAGCCAGCGGAGACCACATGACATCCAACGCAATCGTGACGTAGTTTGTCTCGGGACGAGCAAAGCTGCGGCGAGGCTGACTTTGAAAGGATTGCCTATTATTTCCAGCCACCGAAGCGGCTACTTTTGTATGAATTTTGAGTGACGGGTCAATCTTCTACAATCTTGTAGAGGAACAATAGCGACTTCTGGGTCACACAAAAGGGATTCTCGGGAAGACGGGAGTTCCTCCTTCCCCCCTTCTCTCGTCGTAGCCGGAGGCGAGACAAACGTCGTCACTATCTGCCAAGGTTCCTAGATGGGTATTACAAATGAGGTGTTAGCGACATCCACCAGGTGCTCTTTGCTACATTGGTTTAAAATTTTTTTCGTGACTTTTTGAACAAGATATTGGTGTGTTTGATGTGATACTGCTCCTTTGAACACATATAAACCGAAAAAATAAGTGCCAAAACTTTGTTGTAGTATCCCTTTAATTATACAACAACATAGTTGGTTTTGCCCCAATTTGTTTTTTTCTTTGCATTTCTATTGGTGTTTTTTGGGGTTAGCCCAGAGCATGCTTGTTTCAGGGAGCAGAGCACTGCTGTATATCTGAATATGTGATGTCTTACCGCCTCTGGGAGTGACACGGAGGTACTGAAGGAAGTGGTTTGGCTGGCACTGATGTCTAATCAGCGAGGAGACAAGTGCTGCGTCAGCGTTCGACTGCCAGTCGGCCTATCAACTTCCGTGTCCTAACCGAATATGGTTAGGTGCCAAACGTATAGCACACTTTGTGTTAAAAACAAAACATTTGTGTAGCTACTTGTCGAAACCCTCGCCTTCCCTTTACAGTAGCAGGAGGGCTCATGCCTATCCTGGCACGTGATAATTATGACACACAGTAGAGCTTTGCGTGCTTGCTCGAGTCAAATTTATGCGTGCCTCGTATTTCCTAGCCAGTTTCGTAGTCTCGAAAGAGTATCCACTCAAACACTGGGCCAATTAGGTGACCGCTAAATATGGGATAAATCTCCCATTGTGAAGTCTAGAAGACTTGGAAGAAATGGTTACGATGCTGGCAACTAGCCAATCTATAGGCTTCCTAGTCAGCGGCTTTGCTTTAGTGCAGCAGCACATGGGTACAAACTACATGTGTGAGTGCACTTCTGTGAGCAAGAGTGCCACGAAAATCCTTTCTGGTTGTTTTCTTCGCATACATACTAAAACACTGGCCAATTTGTGATTGTAAAAGGAAAAAGTTTTGTTTTCAGGTCTGCGTTATACACAATTATACAATGTGCAAGCATGGCATCCTGGTTGGTATTCCTTGTGTGCAGGAATGTGCAAACAAAAAAGACAAAAGTGACAGTTGTTGACGAGCATTTATGTCTTTAGCGCTCTGTTAGTTCCTGGAAGCTACCTGTTTCTTGCAATCACAATTTGAGATGGATCAGTTGCCTGAGCTGCTTCTGTGTACTGCACAGGTGCCAGTCCTGCAGTACTTGTACTACCTGGCCCAGATTGGGATTGCCATGTCCCCACTGAGCAACAACTCACTGTTCCTGAACTACCACCGGAACCCCCTGCCAGAGTACCTCAGCAGGGGACTCTGTGTGTCACTCTCAACCGACGACCCCCTCCAGTTTCACTTCACCAAGGCAAGTCGGACATGGTATTGTGTGCTCCAATTCAGGAAGATCACGTTTTTCACTTTTTAGGCAAGACCAAGCCCATTCTCGATTAAATTTTGCTACTACTTTGCTTCCAAAGCACACATGCAAAAGTCAGCAAACTGGGATGTGTAGGGCTTGTAAATAGTATTGAGTATGTCTTCTTGAAAAAGGGTGTGATAGTGACAGAGAAGTTAGGCTTTGACAGTTCGTTGGCTTTAGTGTTCACCTGAAATTCTGTGTATAGCCAGGTTTACTGCTATTGTTAGCATAATTTGTTGTCACTTCGAAGAAAGTTGCGACTTTTCCGACGACGATGGTACAGTCTATGCTAACATTCCATTGTACCTCTTGCAGGAACCGCTGATGGAGGAGTACAGTATCGCTGCGCAGGTGTGGAAGCTGAGCAGCTGTGACATGTGCGAGTTGGCACGCAACAGCATTGTCATGAGTGGATTTCCCCACAAGGTGAGCCTGTACTCTAATGCCCACTTACCAGACCTATGTCGATAGTATGCTTATGCTGGGATCTGGGAAACATATCGGAGTAAAGACTTTATGAAGATTGCATAGACTAGCTCCCTCAGAGCCACTCCTAGCCCTAAGTTGGCAGGTTGGAATTCAGCCAAGTCTGACAGAGGAGTATTGCAGTGATGTTTGGATTGTGTCTGGAAGATGGTCTCTCACCATGTGGTTGATATTTGGGTTGCACATGAAAGGTTACCAGATGATTTAAATGAATCTTTGATCCTTCACTGGGGGCACACCAGATAGCGTTAGTTGCTTTGGCATGTGAACCTCACAGTTGCAAATTGTAATTTTCTAAGTGCCCAGTTCTGCGGAAGACACTGCATAACACTCTCCAATTTTTTTTTAGGTATTGAACCAAGTTAGTGAGAGGTTACTGTATGTTTGTCTAAGGAGTAGAATGGTTTTGGTTTCTTATTCAATGCTGATAACACCAGTTACGATTTTCTGCCTTGCTGTTTTGGTTATGTCGCAGTAATCGAAACACACTCTTAAATATGTTAATTTATTTGTACTGTATTGTATTTCCAGAGATAGAAGTTATGAGGAATGATAGATATAGTAGCTGCAATATCTAAAATCGAGTTCAGGAATCGGGGTATGCAGTTTTTATTCTTGTTTTTTTATGCGACCATGGGAATCTTTATTAAAGAAACATTTTACCTAATACGTACAGCCAGCAGCAAAAGTTTGCGGGGCACGGGAGCGCCGACCGAAATGACTGGATTCTGATGGTGTGTGGCCGCTCTCAAGACTCACGGTTCGAGAATGCGCTTTTTTTTTTGTTTTCGCAGTCATGTCTCTTTCACTTGCTTCCGTCTCACCTGCACGAGATAACCAGGACCGGTGCAGGGTGCCGCTTTGTGAGTTGTCATGCAGCACGTCTGCCTCAGCCACTGTGATGGGTCACGGTGCTCAGATATTTCGGATAACATTTCGCGGCACCTTGTGCCAGTTCTCATTACCTCTTGTGCGTCGGACGGAAGTGAGCGAAAAAAGAACATATCTGTGAACATGATAGGAAGTGCATGGGCTAAGCATGAGTCTTCAGAGCCGCAACACACCATCAGGAGGCGCAGTTAGTCATTTCTGCTGGCACTCCTGTGCCTTGCAAACTTTTGCTGCCGACTGTACTTCTGGCATGGTGAGCTACATGATTAATAATTTGATAATTCTTTCTGGTAGAGCTCTTATGGTTTTCTAGAATTGTACAGAAGGGCCCTGATTCATTCTTTCTTCATTAAAGAGCTTCTGCTGTTTTCATCATTAAAGGAGCTGTGCAACGATTTTAATGTTGAAAGAATTGGCATTTTCTGCTTTTGATATTGTTCACTGTGTCACAAATGGCAGAAAACACACCTCCTTTCATCGCAATGTTGCGATTCCGCCGCGTAATAGCAAGGCAAAACTTGGAATATTTCCCGACCTGCAGCCACGAGCGGCGGCCATGAGAAACAAGCGGCGTGACGTCACTTGGGTCGTTGTAAGAAAGATAGCAAGTTGTGCGAATACCTGCTCGATAAAAGGTAACTCTTTTTACAAATCTTGTCGTTCCAACATATATATAAACGCGTCAACACCCTGGTATCATCGACAAAACTTTTATTATACGGAGTTTTAGTGGCGCCATCTATCCTAGGTCCACAAAACCGCGAACAGCTGCCAGAAGCCGGAGGGGGAGGGGGACAGCGCCGGACGGGCAAGGACGGGTGGTCACGCGGTCGCGAGCGGATGAGTTCTCGCTGCTCGCTGATGGCTCTAAAGAGAGAACTTTTCCGGAACTCCGCGCCTACTCTAGTGACGTCACTGTGCACGTGACCCGGAAGACGATGCACGAGTTGAGAGGCGGCAAAAACCTGGATCTTTTTCATTTTTTAAAATAAAAACTAGGGTATCCAGGCAAAATCTGTTTTCTGTAGTTCACTGCAGAAGTGTCAGGCATCAACTTCCACAATTATTTAAGCAAAGCCCTGAAATTGTTGCACAGCTCCTTTAATCTGACCATTTGTTTTTCTATTGCAGCCATTTTTGTCACCCATGTACCTTGGTTTTGTTTTGTCTTTAATGATTAGGTCACTCACACAATATCACTACATATATACTATTCAGAGGAAATAAACTTCCATATTTGGAAAATGGCTGGCTTTGATTTGACTTTCCCATGCGTGCAATTGCAAACCAAACTAGCAGAGATTTAAAAGAAGTTAGGAACATGAAGTTGTCTTAGGATTGAAAGGTGATTAAAGGGGTTAGGACACTACAAAAATAAAATATGAGATAACTACCTATATTGCTAGGTCCCATTGTATGTTCCTATAATCCTGCTAAGTTTGTTTTAAAAATAGCGCGATGATTTTGTGGATATGTCCATATATATGTGGGACCCTCGGATCCGCCCCATTCGAAAATGCTGCCACTTTTGTTGGGCTGGTGACGTCACCTGCCCATTGCGTAGACTAACTTGAGCAGTGTTGCCTGGTTGCAAGTCGAAAGTGATCAACATTCGTGAACTGATCATCACAATTCCTGGAGCTCTAAAGATTGCGAAACTTGGTGTATATAAGAAGTAACCTATGAGCATCCGATTTCAAAGATAATCTACCATTTAATTTTCATGTCTTAACCTCTTTTAAGCCTTGACTCAGATTCAGGTAATGTGTGTTTTCATTTTCAGTTGCCCCTCTGTAAATTCTCTAAAATTATAAATGGAGAGTCATGACATAGAGAAACTGTTTCATTTAATCTTGAACGCAAATTGTGGTGCATGACGACGCACATGGCACGCAGGTGAAGCAGTACTGGCTGGGCCCCAACTACCAGCGGGAGGGCACCTCCGGCAATGACATCACGCGCACCAACGTGCCGGACATCCGCGTGGCCTACCGCTACGAGACGCTGGTGGACGAGCTGTCCACCATCTTTCGCACTGTGGAGCCATCGCCCTAGGCCCTTTCGGTCCCCCTGCTTGTTGTACGTAGTCCACAACCAAGTCGCACTCGCGCGCAAAGGGAGCAGGAAGCAATCATGTGCCAAGAATTCCAGACATCTTTTCCCGGAGAGCATCTATACCATCCCTTTAGCGTGCGCTCGTAAGCGGGAGGACTGGGCCTCCCCCCTTGGGGCACGAGCCGGGTGCGCTGTGTAAGTTTTGTAGCTGTGAAGAGAGAGTGAACAGTGGTGGCAGCAGCCTTACGAAAGTTGTTGTATTTTTCTCTCTTGCACGTGACTCTGCAGGTTAAGTTATTGTCTGAATAAAAAAAGCTTTCTTTATGCTTGCTGGGTTTGCACTGTGTTTTCTTCATTATTACCGAGGTGTCATTTATAATTATTGATATAATCAGTATTTAGTCATACAAAGTATATTTAATCGATGCTTTCTTTTTCTGAAGTTGTGTGATTATTATATTTGGGTGGGGGGTAAGGGGGGGGATTTGACCATTTCATGGTCTCCATATTTACTGCATTCCTACCAGGTCTGCATATCATTCGATGGCAGTTGTGCGAGGGAGGAAAAGAAAAGACAAAGAGAGCATGACAAGACTCCTTTGCCAGAAGGGGATCAAGTTCTTGGGGAGAAAGGTTAAAGGAATGAAAGATATGGAGGAAAAGGAAGTGTGCAATAGGGGAGAGAGCAGTTAAAGTTTTTTATATTTTTCTTTTCGCTTTTCTACATCATTTTTGCAGGCAGGAAATTAGGTCATAAGTGGGGAGAAGAAATGAGTGGTTTCAGGACTTCAGTGACATTATTGCCTCGCGATTTGCCCCAAAGTACTCGCCCTGCTACATGATGCTGTATTTCACCGAAATGTAAGGCATCTGTATCAATATTCTGCCCAAAGTCTCATTTCGCTCTTTCAATACCGACTCTACTGGGGAGTTTTTGCGGATCGCTTCCGCCGTCCCGCAACCCGCTACGAGCATCATAGTGTTCGTCATGCCTCTGTGCGTGTTTGCTCAAGTAATAAAACAAAAAAAGTTCAGCGACTTGCGTTTTTGACGCTGCTAGCGGCGGCTGCTTCTGGACTACGGTTGACCTACGGAATCCTCTTCTGCCGGCAAAAACGGTTCTTTGTTTCTCGCACTTCTTTCTCCTGCGCCCCGGCACAGGGGTGCCGAATTAGCAAAGCTTCTCTTCTCCCCACTCTTTGAGCTACTTCCTGCAGGGGTTTCCCTCTTTCTCGAATGGAAAGGAGTTTCCCTCTTCATGACTCTTCGTCCGCCTTTAAGCTGACTCGAAGTATAGTGTGGTATAGGGAGTATTCACTCGGCGGCCATAGCTGTGTGCGCGAATACTGAGCGCGTGCTCATGCCGAGCTTCCAGAGTTCTTTCGCAACTTATTCCGCACCACCAAAATTGCCGGTCTTAAAAGCCTATTAATGCGAGCTCGTTATGAGCACGCGCTCTAAACAGCACCCCCAAATATGGCGTCCAGTGAATGCCCCCTATAATGGTCTGTTCGAAATGAATGCGTGTGTTAGCTCCGTTGAGTGCGCTTCTCACCACGCACTGGTACACTGCGGGAAAGCGACACCCGCGGAGCGGACGCGCTTTAGAGGGTTTGGCACTCGAGTTCTGCAGTGGGGACTCTATAAAATAGAGCATCTCTACAAATTGGAAATAAAATTTAGAAAAAAGAAGTATGAAACGAAATATATTTCCAAAACGCACGGTGTCGAACCTGTATATTTGATGGAGCTCAAAGACTACTACCTAAGCGTGGTGACCGTTGTAATTGAATCGAAACGAACGAGGATCGTAATCTCTTGGTTTTCTGATGTAATTGTTTCTGTAAGAGAAGTATATCAAAAGTGTGTATGGCCGAGTATACTCTCAATCAGCCAATGCAAAACAGCGACATGAGTACACAGGACTACAGACAAATTGATTTCGGCTGAAATGTGTCAAAAGCGTTCTCGGCGGCACTTGAACGCACGGTACAAGCACCGGCGAACGGCGCTTGAACGCTGGGTGGCGTCCAAAACAGCGAAAAACGCTTATACAGCGCGCGAGGTTGTCTGCTCCTTGCTCACCTCGTGCGTTTGTTCACCCCCGACCTGAATCAATGGCGGCGCGAGCCTGACTGCCTCGTCATCCTGAGTTATCTACGCGTTCTCGATGTCGACTTATGATTGGTGTGGCTCTCTTTGCGTTCCGAAGACGTATTTTAGGACACTTGCTCGCCGTGCGCACTTTTGAAACGCGTATACCCGAGTATACTTCCTCGACATTACAAACAAAATGACGCCCAATAATGCACGCAACTCGCCAGGATATTAGTACATTATAAATACCGGGTGTTTGATTATATTTCAAACATATTTGGATAAAATAATAAAAGGAATGGGGTCGGGGGGGGGGGCTGAAAGTTAAGAGGGCGCTGTCTTTACCATGTATTTGTCAGGCACGGCGAACATGAATTAGATGAGAAAATAGCCGTCACGCTAAGCGGGCCAATTAGCTAAAATTTGTTCATTAAATATTTTTGTTTTGATTGATGGTTTTATGTTGCAATTACAGTATTTACGGCCGTTACAATTGTAAACTAAACCAGTTTAACCCATTTCTGAAATGCCAGCGGGTTTTGAGATATTCCTAGATCAGTTTTCGCGTTTCTGTCGTCGAGAGGGCCGGAATTTCTGTGCACTATAATGTACGGAACTGTGACGTAGGGTCGTTTCGCGCACCCCTTCTATCTCGACAACTTGTCCTTGGCGGATGCACCGACCAACGTTGGCACCGACTTCGTGCTGCCGAAGATGATGTCAAAGCGCCCGAAAAGAGCAAAAAGAGCACGTCACTCTTGTGCGCATAATTATATATGGCAGTTCCGAAGCTCTTTCTGTGTCCAGTTTCGAAATCATTTTACAAAACCCCGAAAACCGTTCGATGAACATCCCGAAGCCCATTGTAAATTCTTAAATTATTTAAATTGGTCTGGCCTCTGAATGTAACAGCCATCAATACCGCATTTGCAAAATAAAACCTATAATTAAAAAAAATTGACCGGATCTCTACGTGGTGAATGATGTTTAATTGGGGCGAAGCTCTGGTGGTGCTTGTCTGCGTAGACGCTGAGCCGCAGCATGCCGAGCTTTTCGTTCTTTTTCATCCATGCCAGAAAGAGAATTTGTGGTATGGTACGCATTTGAGCATTTGACCACAGCGCCCTCTCGTCTGTAAACGTTGAGCCAATGCATGCAAAGTTTAACGCGATTATATACGCATTTGACCGTAGCGCCCTCTCCTGTTGAGCGGCTCACTTTGAGCGGCTACATGCAACGTTTCATCCATGACATCCCCAGTTCTTGAGTTACTACCACATCTCAGAGCCCCTTACTCGTCCCGCAGTCGTGACCGAGTGGTTAAGGCGATGGACTAGAAATCCATCGGGGTCTCCCCGCGTAGGTTCGGATCCTGTCGACTGCGCAAACATTTTTTTTTTTTCATAATTTTTTTTATCATTTTTTTTTTACACGAGCACGTGAGCTTACGAGCACGATCACGAGCACCAGCAAGTTCGATGTGAGCACGAACGCCGGAGGGACAAGGCTAGACCGGGGTATTCACACGAGGGAGAAATCCCGGAGATTTCTCCCCGGCACGAACACATCACGAGATGAAATCGCGAGGCTTTTGCACGTCGCAAAGCCTGACGTTTTCGTCGTGGGATGCGCGTGCCGGGGAGAAATCCCCGGGATTTGTCCCTCGTGTGAATACCTCTTAGGAGCTTCGCCCCTAAAAATGTTTCTTGAATTGATTTTGCTAATTAGCCTACTCATCGCGATACAGCGCTGTTCACGCGTCTTCAGGTATGCGTATCGTCTGCCACGAGCAGCAGTTTTTACGGTGCGATACCCCTTAGCGAAAAGTCGTTCAAAATCAGTATACTGAAAGTATACTGAAAGTATACTAATAGTGAACTTAGGGTATGTACTGAAATCGTACTAGTTTCACACTTTTATGAAACAAAATAGTGTACCTTTAGTACACCCCAAGTACATATGTAGTATACCATAAGTGCACCTCGAGTGTACTTTTAGCATACCATAAGTGCACCTCGAGTGTACTTTTAGCATAGCATAAGCGCACACTTAGTACACTTCATGTATGCTTTTAGTGTACTAAATGTACACTACCAGTACATGTAAATGTACACTACCAGTGTCCCAGATAACTTCCACCAAACTTTAAAAAAGAAAACAAAAGAAAACGGAGCGTTCTCCGGGAGTGAAACCGACTGTACGCTGTTAGAAAGTCTCTTGCGAAAGTGCACGAAATTGTTTTAGTGCGCCTATTTACTTAATTAAGAGTAACAAGCTAACTTTTTAAATCTTTGTTTAAAAGCCGAGGTGTGAAATGGAAAGTTGTAGAGCGCATTAACACCCAATTAAACCATTTTCAACAAGGTGCGCTTTGCATGCTCCTTTTTCCTAGCCTTCGAAAAAACGCCCGCGAAATACAAAAAAATACCGCGTGACAACTCGCTTCCCCAATCACGGCGTGCGAGCGCGCCGCGAATGTGCGTGCTTTGAAGGCCGGAAAAAAGCACGAAAACGTATTATGTTTCAAACACTTTAAATGGGTGTTTCTCAATGCGCCCGGCAAATTTACATTTAACATCTTGGCCCTTAAAAGAATGTTCGAAAGGTTAGCTCAATAATCTTAGTTATTTACATAACCAGGCGCATTAAAAAAATCTGTGCACTTTCTCAAGACACTTGCTAACGACAGTTGATTTCACACCTGCAGAGCCCTCCGGTGTTTCTTAAGTATGGTGCAAGTTATCTGGGACGCCGTGTATGTCGGGCGTTTTGAATGGAAAGCACGGTCTCAAATTGACCAGAAAAATCGCCGCCTACATTTAAAAAGCTGACTTTTCAAAGGTGTTTCTTTGAACGGCTGTATTCCAACCTGTGAAATTTCATCTTATACAGCTCCATTCTCGTGAAATGTTAAGAAACGCCGTTGACAACTCAATTGATGATGATAATGCAGAGGCGCCACCACCGGGAGATGCACTCTTAAAAATGAGTCAGGAAATTAACGAGGAAATCTTTGGCAGCTCTATTCCTCGTGAGAATGACGTAACGGCGTCTTCTGAAACTGTGTGAGAAAAGCCATAAAGAAGAGGTGCACTGCCTTTTTCAACTGAAAGTATGTATGTGTAGCATACAAACATTATGGTCAGTGTTCTTCACGTAATTGATAAGACAGAAATTGAAATCCTACTTATCACTTTATTCAAGTTTCCGAGCCTGCCTCACTGTACACTCT